GAATGGCCTGGACATTCTGGTCCATCATGGTCTCCATCATATGCTCCATCCTAGCCTCGGACTCTGCAATAGACTTCTGCATCCAGGCTTCACATGATGAAGCAGTGTGGCCATCTGAGCTTCCAATTGCTGAACTAGAGCCAAGGGCACAACAGCAGCTCCTGAAGGCGTGGTAGCTCTGGATGAGCTAGGGGGAGATGGGGAGGTCGGGGCATCATCAGTGTGGGATGGAGAGGCAGGGTCATCACCCTACATCTGCTCCACATCATTTACTAAATCTGCTCCCAAAGAAGGTGCATCAACTTGCGGCTCTCGATGTGGGGCCGCCACATTTGCCTCATCCCAAATCAGGCCTATATCCAGGGTCCCCGTTGCCCGGATCAACTTGTCACAATGCCAGATCGGCACTCCAGAGTCCCTGCATAACTGAAAGATAAAGCAAGGAAAAGGGTAACTGGTGGAGGCCTTGAAAGCCCTCTCATGAATCTCCGCAATGATCATGCGAGAAAAATCAATCTCGAACCCCGCACCCAATGTTACTGCCATAATTGTGCGGTTCCAAGTGAGTGCATTATCAGCCTTCATGGGAGAAACTCAATTCTGTACCAACAGCCAGAAAAATTTAGCCATAAATGTGAGAGTGGCCTTCTTGATGCTTAAGCTTAGAGTGGTGACCCACTCGGCTTGCTCTCCGTCAGTAGTAATATAACGAGCCAGCTAGTGTAATACAGTCTCGCTTTTCCTGGCACTCTGTTGGAACTCCCCGCCCCACACGATGTCCCATCTATAGTCAAATTCGGCCGTGTTGAGTGCCCAAGTATGGCTAGGGCTAGGGCCGTAGAGGAACCGGTGGATGGTGTTCTCAGAGATGTCCACAGAAAAGCCGCGCACTAGTGTATCCTTGAGTGGTGTCCGGGCTCTGGGATTGGCATTTCTCTGAATAGAGCCTCGAAGAGTGGCTGTGTAGGAAGCATAGAACTCCCTCACGATCTTCTCGCTATATGTTCCTAATTCCTTGCCCATCCACTCACACTTATGATGTTGAAAGAGCCGGTGGATGTCGGGTATAGTGTGTAGGCTCCCCGTGAGAACTTTGCGCTCATCTGTGATTAGCCGAGCCATTTTCTCTTTTTCATTCAACATCTTGGCATCCCTGTAGATTTGTCGTTGGCCCTCCATGGACCATCTATTGTGCTCCTCAGCAACCGGAGCATGGTCGTTGTTTTGTGGCACTTGAACCTCCCCCGAACTAGTAGCCTCATTAGACGAGGCAGCCTAGCCATGTGAACTCGAGCCTGTGGCGAACCTAGAAGCAGACCCTGCAGCAGAGGCGGACTCAAAACTAGAAGCAGACCCAGCCGGTGACCCGATCAGTGTATCCTCTTCATCAGACTAGGAGGCAGTGACTACGTCAGGGACCACCTTCTTGGCTTGATTCCGAGTAGCCCAGGGTGCTGTGGGTGATGTCCTTCCAGTGGGGGGGACATATTTGGGCTCTTTCGCAACATTAATATCCTCATCGATTAGTCGACAGGTAGGAGCCGTTGATTTTATCTACCCTTGACGGCTTTAGCTTTCTTCGAGGCCATTGTACATGTAAGGGAAGAATTAGTACCAATATGACCTAAAGACACACTCGAAAAAAAATTATAACAAATAATGAACAAATTAAATAAATAAAAAATTACAGACAGTGGCTTTAGTGGCCACCTACAGTGGGTTTCTACGGTCCGTAAGTTGACCTACAGTCCGTGGATCCCCTCCGTAGGTCAGAAGTCCCAAAGATTTGGGCTCTAATGAGAACCACGGCTGTGCAGAACGGTCCATAGATTGACCTACGGACTGTAGTCCACCTCCGTGGTTCCACACTTAGTGATATTGCTTTGTGCCACATACCACAGACGTGATCTACAGTCCGTAGACTAATCTACGATCCGTAGACGGGGTCTCATGGATCCAGTCTGTGCCAGGTATTAGACACTCTTCTCTTCGAAACCAAATTTTATCAATTCAAACCATGGACCTTAGCCTAATCATGCATTTCAACATAGTTTTATGCTAGTTTGTCATCCCAAGGGTTCCAATTACTCAATTTTCAACAGGTATTGCATACGAGGCTAGGAACTCTAAGTCGAAACTTGCATTTAGACTCTTATTACACTGTTTGTACACATTACAAAGACAACACAATCACAATCTATCGTCCCAAGGGTGTTTCTAATTTTAGTTTAGCATGCAATTTCATACAACAACTACCCAAGGTCAAGATCTACTTCCTAACTTTCTATAACAACAATGAACTAGAATTCAAAGTGAAGGGAAAGTCGATTACCTTACAAGCAAAGGAAATGGGTGATTGTGGGATGACTTTTGACTTCCAACAACTTCTAACTCGCCTTTCTCATCGAACTTGAATACCGGAACCTCTGGGAAATTGGGAATGAAGGGATTTTGGAGAGAGGAGAGTGAATTGGGAATATGGGAGGATGAATGCAGAGTGATTAATGGGGGAATTGATTAAATATGGAGGGATTTTAGGATTTTGATGGGTTTAGAAATGGTTAGGAGGAAAATATGGGAAGTGGGGAATGATTTGAAAAAGGGGGGTTTTATTTTAAAAGAGGTCTGGGTCGGGTCAGGCAGAACTAGGGTTTGGACCCACGAGACCCCGTCTACAGTCTGTGGGTCAACCTACAGTCCATAGATGGGGTCCGTAGGTCACTTTTACACTTAGAAAATTTAGAAGGCTTACCTGAGATCTACGGACGCCATTCACGGTCCATGGAATGAACCACGGACCGTCGATGGGGTCCATAGGCCTTTGCGACAGACATTTTCTGTAGAATTTTGCTTTTTGCCCCTGCACATGTAGCAGCCATGAGGCCTTTCTTTTTACATTTTCTAGACACTTTTTAGACATGGACCCTATGCTATATCTAGCCAATACTAAAATAAAAATAAAGCACCTATCTAAAGGAATACAGAAAAGCAAATAAACAAAGAAAACTATTAAACCGAAAAGAAGAACCTATTGTTGGCTAGATTGTACATCTTGGGTAACCTCCCAAGCAACGCTTGATTTAATGTCGCGGCACGACGCAGGCCTCTTGATTACTCATACTTCATCAAGATAGTAGGCCTCAACAACTTCTTGTACACTTTCCGCGTTTCCCAGATAAATCTTGATCATTTGCCCATTTACCTTAAACCTTGTTCCCTCACTGTTCTCAAGCTCCACCGCTCCATGTGGGAGCACTTGCGTGACTAAGAATGACCCGGTCCACTTGGACTTGACCTTGCGCGGAAATAAGCGCAACTTAGAGTTGAATAGAAGCACAAGATCACCCATAAAAAAAAATTGCTTTTCAATCCTTTGATCATGATACTTCTTCATATTCTCCTTGTACAAGGCTGAACTTTCATAAGCTTTTAGGCGAAACTCATCAAGCACATTAAAGTCACTCATTCTCTGATTTGTTACGGAGCCCCAATCCAAATTTAGCTTCTTTAGTGCCCATATCGCCTTATGCTCTAACTCTACCGGAAAATGGCAAAACTTCCCATATACAAGTTGGTAGGGGGACATACCTATAGGAGCCTTGAATGTGGTGCGATAAGCCCATAGAGCATCATCAAGCTTCCTTGACCAATCCGTTCTATTAGCATTCACCATATTTGCCAAAATCTTCCTGATCTCTCTATTAGACACTTCAACTTGCCGATTAGACTGCGGATGGTAAGGAGTGGCTACATTATGGCGGACGCCATATTTCTCAAGTAACGCCTTGAACAACTTATTACAAAAGTGGGAACCTCCATCGCTGATAATCGCCCTAGGTGTACCAAATCTAGAGAAGATATTTTGTTTCAAGAATGCGGTGACACTTCTACCTTCATTGTTGGGAAGCGCAACTGCTTCCACCCACTTTAACACATAATCAACCGCAACAAGAATATACTTCATCCCGTGTGAACTCACAAATGGACCCATAAAATCAATTCCCCATACATCAAACAACTCTATCACCAATATAGGATTCATAGGAAGCTCTTGCCTCTTTGAAATTCCTCCTTCTCTTTGGCAACGGTCACAAGCCTTGGCGAAATCATGAGCATCTTGGTGGATGGTAGGCCAGTAATACCCACACTGCAAAATTTTATGCAAAGTCTGAATACCACTATGATGCCCACCAACAGGTGATGCATGGCACACCTATAGTATACTCAACATCTCGACCTTGGGCACACACCGAAAAATAATCCCATCAGCACAACTACGATACAAATAAGGCTCATCTCAAAAGAACTTCTTCACATCATGCATAAACTTTTTCCATTGGTGAAAAGACAAATCCGCTGGCACCAGATCACTTGCCAAGTAGTTAGCAAAGTGTGTGAACCAAGGAATCAGATTATGAGAAGCAGCCAATACATGTTTATCTGTAAAAGCATCATTAATTTCAGCCCTATCACCAAGCTTGAGCATAGCTTCTTCCTCCAATCTAGACAAGTGATCGGCAACCTGATTTTTTGTCCTCTTTCTATCTTTCACCACAAAGTCGAACTCTTGCAACAACAACACCCATCTAATCAGCCTCGGTTTTGCATCTTTCTTAGCCATCAAATACCTCAATGTAGAAATGGTCAGTATGCACAATGACCTTAGTACCAAGCAAGTAGGATCGAAATTTCTTGAATGTGAAAACCATTGCAAGAAACTCTTGTTCAGTCACTGTATAGTTCTTTTGAGCCCCATTTATAGGTTTGCTAGCATAGTAAATAGGATGAAGAATCTTCTCTCGCCTCTATCCCAATGCCACACCAAGCACCACTCCATTTGCATCACACATTAACTCAAACGGCTGTCCCCAATCCGGTGAAATAATGATAGGTGCAGTAACTAACTTCTCCTTCAACTCTCTAAATGCTCTCAGACAAGCATCATCAAAATCAAACTTATACTCCTTTTCGAGTAGTTTGCACAATGGATGCGCAATTTTGGAGAAATCCTTAATGAACCTCCTATAGAAACCTGCATGCCCAAGAAAACTTCTAACACCTTTAATAGAGATAGGTGGTGGAAGCTTTTCTATTACCTCAACTTTCGCTCTATCAACCTCAATACCCTTCTCAGAGATTCGATGACCCAGAACTATCCCTTCTTTCACCATAAAGTGGCACTTCTCCCAATTGAGCACAAGATTGCACTCTTCACACTGTTTAAGCACCTCGGCCAAATGGTCCAGACAACGATCAAAAGAATCAGCTACCATAGAGAAATCATCCATAAATACCTCAATAGTGTCCTCCACCATATTAGAAAATATCGACACCATACAACGCTGGAAGGTCGCTGGAGCATTACACAATCCAAATGTCATCTGTTTGAATGCGAAAGTCCCATAAGGGCAAGTGAATGTGGTCTTCTCTTGGTCTTCCGGAGCTATAGAAATCTGATTGTAGCCTGAATAACCATCAAGGAAACAACACCAACCCTTACCCTCAAGTCGGTCCAACATCCAATCCATGAATGGCATAGGAAAGTGGTCCTTTTCAGTCCAAGCATTCAATTTTTGGTAGTCCATGCAGACCCTCCATCCAGTCACGGGCCGCATTGGAACAAGCTTGTTTCTCTCATTAGGTACCATAGTAATCCCACCTTTCTTGGGCACATACTGAACAGGACACACCCAACTACTATCTACAATGGGATAAATAACTCCAGCATCCAACCACTTGATGATTTCCTTCTTAACAACCTCTTGCATATGCGGATTTAGTCTTCTCTGGTGCTCAATACTAGGCTTGTGATCCGGCATGAGTTGAATTTTATGAGAAAAAATACCAGGAGGAATCCAAATACTGTTCGCAATAGTCCACCCAATAGCTCGCTTAAACCTCCTCAACATGGAAACCAATGCCTCAACTTGTGCCAAATTCAAATCTACCGCAATGATGACCGGTAAAGTTCCATCTTTACCCAAGAATACATACCTCAAATGTGATGGTAGAGCCTTAAGCTCCAATTTTGGAGCCTCTTTAACAGACGGTCTAGCAAGTGGAGAGTCGCGATTCTTCATATCTAAATCCAATCTCTTTGGTTTTGAACGGAATTCAAACCTATCAAGTGCGGCAACCAATTCATCAGAGTCTTCAATACCATTACCCTCAAATTTCATCATTACCGCTGCTAGTGCATCAACACCTACCTCTCTTCAATAGGCACCTCAGAACCACTCTCTATAATATGTGTCACCATAGATACTAATTTGAGCTCACTACTCTACTTCATGGACCTAGAGATATTGAAAGTTGCCTCGTTATTGTTCAATCGGAACTTCATCTGCCCTTTCTCCATATCAACCAAGATGCACCCAGTGGCTAGGAATGGTCTCCCAAGGATAATGGGAACCTCAAAGTTAGCATCACCAAATCCGCCGGAAAGATAAAATACTCCACTTTCACTAGTACATCTTGGAGCACACCAGTGGGCTTCTTCACAGTTCTATCGGCCATAAGTAGTCGCATCACAGTCAGTTTTGGATACCCTAAACCCAACTTCTTGTAAATAACCTATGGCATCAGATTGATACTAACACCCAAATCGCACAATGCCTTTGCAAAATGTAGCAACCCAATGGTACAAGGAACAGTGAAGGCCCAGGATCCTCCTTCTTCTGCACAAAGGGACCTTGTAGCAATAGCACTACAATGTTGCAACTTATCATCATCCTCAAAACTCACAGCCCACTTTTTAGTCACCAAGTCCTTCATAAACTTCGCATACTCAGGCATTAGCTCCAAAGCTTCTATCGACGGCACATTGATGGAAAGTTGCTTCAACATACTAATAAAACTGCGGTATTTTCCTTCTTCAATCTTCTTTACTAACCTCTGTGGGAAAGGAGGTGGAGGTCTAGGCATGGGAGCAACTTTCTGAGTTATCTCCACTTCCTTCTCTGTCGCATTATCAGACTCTCCATTTACCTCAATCATATCATCATTTTTACTAGCCTCAACTTCAACCCCAGACAACATAGGTGGATCAATGGTCTGCTTACCCCCTCGAGTAGTGATTGCCATATAATGTCCATCATTCTTTGGATTTTAGATGGTGTTGCTAGGAAGTGTGCTAGGTTGACGTGGGTTTATTGTAGTAAACAACTGAGTCATCTGTAGCTCAAGATGCTTAATCGACACTGCATGGGCATCAACTTTTTGACCAATACTAGACAAGTCATTTCGCATCTCCTTCACATTCTTACCATTCACATCAAACCTCTCCATCATCTTCTGCATCATATCCTCAATACGTGACATATTACCTCCAGCTTTGCTATTACCAGATTCTTGATTTTGAGGAGGGACATAAGGACCAACCAGATCATTTATGTTGCCATAGTTGTTCCGGTTGTAGTTGTTGTCGTGATTGTAGTTCCCATCCCAGACATAATGACCCTCTCGGTTGTAGTTGTCATAGTTCCGACCTTGGTTTCTTTGACCTTGGCGTCAACTATTTGTATTGGAACCTTGTACATTGGCTCGGAAACCCCCCGTCTGATCATTCACCGCATAAGTATCCTCATCATAGTAGCATTCCTCAATTAGTGGTGGATTTCTAGTCAAATAATTTACAACATTTACCTTTTAGTATCTATGGTTACATGCTTCAACACCGACCCCAGTTCGGTCCTCATCTGAGCCATCTCCTCATGAATATCATCGGCATATTGGTTAGTTGTAGCTTGGACTGCAAACATGTTTCTCCTAATATCTGACTTTCTAGTGCTCCACGCTTTATTGTTTTGGGAAATCTTCTCCAGTTTCTCCGCAATCTACTCAAAAGTGCACTCACCATATGAACCTCCAACGACAGTATCAAGCACCGCCTTACTATTGCCATCCTGACCTCGGTAGAAGTATTCCTTCAGCGATTCATCATCAATGCGGTGATTCGGAACACCTCTTATGAAAGTAGTGAACATGTCCCAAGAACTACTCACAGACTCTCCAGGTAGTGTTACGAAGTTGTTGAGTTTATCTTTGTGGTTCATCTTCTTTGACACGGGAAAGTATCTTGCCAAGAACACTTCAGTTATTTGTTCCCATGTGTAGATTGAGTTATAAGAAAGCTCAGTAAACCACACAGCAGCATCGCCGGTCAATGATAGAGGGAATACTCGTAATCCAATGAAATCCATGTCCAAGTCCGGTCGACCCACATAACTTTTGCAAACACTCATCAGCTTGGCTGTGAGCATGTGGATCCTCCGATGCCAAACCAGCAAACAAGCCCCTCACAGTAAGCATCTGCATCAAACTGTTGGTCACCACAAATGTATGCCTCGGAGGTAGAGGGGGTAGAACAAGAGGTCCTTCAGATTCAGCAGCATTAAAGTTGACCCTATAGTTATCACGCAGTCTTGGTCCAGGTGGATCATGTACCCCCAATGCATCTCCCAGTAGATTTTCACCTTAAACCTGATTATTCTCATCACCAACCCTCGGAGGCTGCAACTCAGCTCTATCACCTAAATGTCCTCTGATAGGATTGACTGGGACTCCTTGGTTATTCATTCTTCGCAAAGTTCTGTTCAATACTGGATCGTAGGGAGTAAGTGGTTCACCTTGGCTCCGTGTACTTGGCATACACTAGAGTAGGAACCTGAGAGAAACAAAAACAAAAGAAAAAGTAAAATTAGGAAATATTTAACGAAAGTTCAATAATGTAGTTAAACTTAATCTAAAAGCCTTATTCCCGGCAGCGGTACCAAAATTTGATATGCTCAAATTACACCTCCCTAAAGAAGCGTAAGCTATCGTTATCAAGTAAAGAACCCAACTTGTAGGTTGGGGTCGATCCCACGAGGAATATGGTCTAGACTTAAGTTCAGCTTACGATTATATTTGTTTAGTCAACGTATTTCCGAAACAAGTAATTAAAGGGGGGGGGGGGATTTGTGAAACAAATTCTGAAAGTAATGTGAAAAATTAGTAAGCAAGATTCAAACTTTTGTGATTTTCACCTTAAACCTGATTATTCTCATCACCAACCCTCGGAGGCTGCAACTCAGCTCTATCACCTAAATTTCCTCTGATAGGATTGACTGGGACTCCTTGGTTATTCATTCTTCGCAAAGTTCTGTTCAATACTGGATCGTAGGGAGTAAGTGGTCACCTTGGTCTGGCTACGTGTGTATAATTTACTAACCCTTACATTTACCTTATATTAGACATCACATCGATGTATGGCTTAGTTTTTAGCCTCGCACCAATCGACATTAGACTATTAGATAGTATCACACTAAATCTATGTTGATAATTCTTTTCTTATTAACTACCTCCTTCGTCCGGCAAGTAGCAACAAGGTGAGTTCTAACGTTTGCAACCGCTAAAAAGACTTCTAAATGAAAGAATTATCAATGCATGCAATAACACTATTCAAGAATTACTTAGTTACTATTCATACTTGGTTAATCGCTCATGGTTCCCACAACCCTAGTTGTGGATTTAGTTACCCATAGTAGCAAGAACACAATTCATATTTTTAGATGAAGAAATCATGAACTTACGTAATGCGAAGAATAAACCCAGAATCTCAACTTGAATTTCAAAGTCACAATCTTCAAAACGAACTTAGGAAATCAAGAATTGCTAAAATTTCAAGTTAATCTCCTAAGCCAAAATCTAGAATAAAAGTAATTAAGTCTAACCCCGCAAAAATGAGATTTACATGCCCTGTATATAGAAAAATAAGTCCCAACTAAAAAGGAAACATAATAAGGAAATAATGTTTCAGGACGCGGCTTCGATCTACGACACTGACCTACGAACTGTGGACTGACCTACGGTCCATAGGACCCTTCTTTAGTTTAGGACTTAGGCAAATTTTTCAACTTCAAAAATCATCATCTCTGACGCAATCGACGGATCAACAGTACGAACCGTGGTTCAATCCACGATCCGTGAATCCTCCTCCGTAGCTCCATACTTAGAATCTTCAAAATCAGGTACTGGAACCTCCTCTCTGAATCATTTGACGGACTTGCAGGACGGCCCATAGGTCGACCTACGGTCCGTCGTTTGCAACCGTGGTTCCACACTTGGTCAAGAATTCCCTGATTTTCCTTCAACCTTGCCTTCCCATCTACATCTACCATCTATAGGGTGTGACTAGTCCTACAGTCCGTAGGTCACATCCTTAGATGTCCTTTTTTGCACATTCTTCAGTTGTGTCTCTCAACTTCCACGTCCGAACTGATTTCCTGCAAATATGATAAAAACCACATAAATACCAATACAAAATGCCCCTAGACACACAGAACTCTTAAGTGAAATGTATTGAAAATACCGTAAACTCACGGTATATCATGGGGACAACCAATTCATGCCTAAGATTATATCAAAGTCAGTTATAACCAAAATCACCAAATCATCCCAAGTCTGAAAACCCATAAAGAAAATAGGACAAGCACTATATACATTGGTGACGATGACAAACTTTCCAACTGGGGTAGAAACATAGATGGTGGCATCAAGTATATCACAAATCATAGCAATTTCTAAGGCAAATCGCACGGATACATAAGGATAAGTAAAACCCTGATCAAATAACACATTAGCCATCCGGTCACTTAAATGAATAGTACATGTGATCATTGCGTCAGACGCCTCTACCTCGATCTTGCTCGGAAAGGCATAACACTGAGTCGTATCATCGTGATGGGAGACTTCCATGCCTGGCTGCTCTGCACCTCTGCCTGTGTTA